TGATTGTGAGACCGATAATCACGTCTGGAGAGGTATCGTGGGTTGCTAAAACAATGCAGACTTCGGTAGGACTCAAACTGTCGAAGCTGCAAATACTTGCCTGCATCTGCGCGTCGGGAGCAATGCGAACGTGTCCGACCGCAGCACTGGAAGTGATGCTAGAACTTTCACCGCTACATCTGGTAATCAAACAGACAGTCAAACGAACTCTGCCCCAAATGACATCAGAGGGAGTTGGCAAAGGGAAGGTAATCTCATCCCAACAGATGAAAGCGCTAAGTGAGGAAATACCACTAGCCCTTCTTCCAAGGGATAGCATTATGCTGATAAGGGAAAGCACTATCAAGTGGTACACCGACGGGTCGAAAACAGAGGAGGGGGTTGGTGCAAGGGTCGCTGGGCCAAGCACCAAACTCTCCATTCCCATGGGAAGTTTCCCGAGCATCTTTCAAGCTGAGGTCTAGCTAGGTCAGCGATAGTCAGGCGGCACTAAAAGCGATCTCTGAGGTCAGATCTCTTCTAGTGCTGGAGTGTATAGAACGGCTGAACAGCCTATCAGAGCACAACCGAGTGCACCTTATTTGGGTGCCTGGCCACAGGGGTATAGCCGGAGGAAAAAGTAGGCAGGGAGACACATTGGCAACAACTTCAGGGCATGCACCATGCCAGATGGTTTCAAAACCATAATTAATCTCCCGAGGAAAAAATTCCGGCTACTTGTCGCGTTCTACACCGGCCACTGCAGGCTTAAGAAGCACCTCTTCAACAAGGGTATAGCCTCTTCTGCAAACTGCCGGTTCCGCGACATAGAGCCGGAAACTCCTGAACATCTGCTGATGAACTGCACAGCAGTCTGCAGACGCAGAATCAAGGCCCTAGGATCCATGTTTCCTCACAGGGATTGTATCGCCTCACTAGCACCCAGCAGAATTTTAGAATTTATCAACATGCTGGGCCTAGATGATACGATATGACTTAGGGGAGGGCACAATAGCCCATAGGTCGCGGTGTATACCTCAAAAATTAATCTAATCTAATCTACCGAGCTAAATTGCATTGGCTGAAATAAATGTATAAAATAAATATATGTAAGTAGCAAATATCAAAATTCTCTGCAAACGTTGGCGCTCGAAACGATCTCTTTTGATGCCGACATCTAGATCGCTGCAAGTGTCAGGTTTCGAGGAGAAGGTTTAATTATAATATTTTTTGCATATAATAACCGACTTTCCTCAGAAAATGAGCGATATGATAAGACTTATATGAAATTTGTACTCTCGTCTCAATATCGTCAGGCTGTTAATATCGCGGAGCTCAATATCTGTTAACATAAAATATTCACTCGAAAATATTTAAAGCCAAATGGTACGTGTTACCGAAACTTACTCTACTCGACAATTAATTTACATTTAAATCAACATTTGCATTGCTGATTCCGCACTTATGAATACTTCTAGGCTAGGCTAGTGAGCTGCAATGACTGCAATGGCCAGCATCGTTCAATTTGATAAAGGATATATGCATTTATACATATGTATACATATGCAAGCTTATGTATACCGCCATAGGAAGTCCGTTAAGATGAATAAAACCAATGTACCGCCAGCATGAAATTCATCATAAAATTTTAACAATAACGCAAAAACACTCATCAGATAAAAATAGTTCATACAAAAATAAAAGCGTGCATCAAGTTATTTGTGATGAAAGTCGACAGGGGAGCGAACGAAGAACTGCAGATAAAGTATGTCCATCTGTTTTTTCTTTTATATATATATACATTTTTTTGGTTTTTTTGGTGGACAAAACTGCTTACTCAGCCAGAGTTCAAGCTGTTTGACATTCTATCTGACATCAAATTGCACAGTAAAGCATTTTCGTGCGAAAAGTGGTTTAAAAACTTTTACATTTCTTTTTTGAGTATCTTACAATGTTTTCATTAATCCAGAAAGCGAAATAAAACTATTTAAAAAAAATACTGACAGTTTCGGGATGGTAACCAATAAGAGGCTTCGGAATGTCATGACAAAAGTGCACTTTTAGCGAACATCCAAACTATGGTTGATAAAGTAAGTGGCTTTAAGCATTATTTTTTTTTATACATAGCTTAGTCACCACTTTCCATCGGCACCTACTGCTTTGGTCTTGATAAAATGATTGACGCTGCACCAATGGAAGAAAATAACTTCGAAAGCAAATATTTTTGTTTTTGGCAGCAAATAAACAGCACGATCGATTATTATTATTTATTTATATTTACAAATAATCACACAATAAAAAAAATTACAATACATTGACAATACTGTGCTTGTCAGCAACGATCCTTCAAAATCAGCTTTTAGCTGGTCAAGTGGTAAATAAGCTTGATAAAGTTTCGAGAAAAAGAAAACGATAAAAAAAGAAATAAAGCAGAAATTTATAAAAACTTGAAAAATGCACAAAGCATATGGAAATCATCAAATACGAATACGAACATGGCAAAATGTCAGCTGCTGCAGCAAAATGCAATAAAATACTATAAAAATCAGAATTCATTTTGCCGATGTCACCCGTACGTTGTTTTTGTTTTTTTCTCTTGTTTGCGTTTGGCACCAGCAGCAATAACAGCCAACGAAAGCAACTCCTCAATGAATGCATCACGTGATGTCGACAATACATACATACATGCAAATATGGATGGTTAAATGCACTACTGTCTGCATTTATGTATGTAAATGGTTAGCAAAATTCGCAGCGGGTCTCTTGTTTGCTTTTTCTATGTGTATGTGTGTTTATTAATATTGACTACACTTCAGTACTAATTAATAAGCAATAAGTGTTATACAGCCATACATACATATATGTTATGCAATGTACATACATATACACAATTAATATACCAATTGCAAATATAAAGGATTTTTTTAGAGGTTTAAACCTTTTTTTTTTTTTGCTATATTATATCGAAAAATATATAGCATTTATTATTTGAAATCAAAAAAAATGTTAATTTCGAATTCACGCTAGCTGCATATATTACCCTTCACAAATATAAAATATTACTTACAAAAACTTGATTTTAATCGGCCAGTTTGTATGACAGTCATATGCTATAGTGATACGATCTGAACAATTTCTTCGGAGATTATAACGATGCCTTAAAAAATAATCTATATCAAATGTCATGAAGATACCTTGTCAAGTAAAAAAATATTTCCATACAAGGACTTCATTTGGATCATACACTTTGTATGGCAGCTTTATGTTATAGTGCTCCAATATCGGCGGTTTCGACAAATAAACGCTACTCCCAGTAGAGAGGATGTGTGTTCGCGTATATACAGACAGAAAGACGGACATGCCTAAATAAACTCAGCTTGTCACCCAAATCATTTATACATATTTTATATAGGATTCTGACTTTTTCTTCTAGGCGTTACTAACTTCGTCGCAAACTTATTATACCCTGTTCATTCTCAAAGAATAGCATTAAATCGAAAGAGGTTATGCCACTTTAATAAGACATTTTCAAACTATCTCATATTTAATTCAACTGGATTTATTTTCTCTGTCATTTCTCTTACTTAGTTTGTAGCAACAAGAATAAAGAGTATATTCATTCATAAAAAAATGCTTAAAATGAGTATATAATTTAACATTAAATTGAAAATTGAAAATGAGGGCAGTATCGGACAAGGCCCGTCGTTCTTTTATTATAAAATTGTAGCCGTGTCAATATAAATGTTGTTTTAACGCACTTTTTGTAAAGGAGGTATGTAGAAAATGGGTATATCATAAATATATTAAATTATTCAGTTGCTGACAAAAATTAATTACATGTCACTTTGGCATAAAATTACGCGGTGACACATTGTTCGCGGTTTGTACTTTTCTTTTATATACTACACCTACTATACTTATATACCATACATATGAGCACCTATATGAAACATATGCATATACTCATCATATGGACCAGCTCTTCTCTAAGGATACTTTTAAAAGGAATTAATGAACAACTGTTTACAGTTTCCATGTAACGGACATTTTAATTTCCGAGTATTCGTAAAACTATGAGCCATAACTTAATCATATGAGTAATAAAATGAAGTCAATGAACGATCCATGAAATTACAAAGAGTGGTCAAATACTAGCTGAGACGCGTGTTCTTGGATAACCTTCTTATATCAAAAAAAAAGAAACAGTTTAAACTAAGGGATAATACGATTTTAATTCCGTCGACCCATAATTCAATACAAAGTCACAGTGGCGACAATTTTATCATGAACGACTAACTCACCATTATATCTATCCTTTCAGCATTATGCCTTAGAATAACCCGATTCGTAGAAAGTCAAATACAAGCATTGAGAAAGAATCATACTCACATAAATTACGAATTATCGCATTGATAAAAAAAGCAGCCAAATATTGACTCACATGACATTGTTCACAGAATGACAATCTACATATTCGTTCTCTTCGAGTCAATAATATACTAGGAAGTCAATTTGCCATGACAAGCCGAGTATCTCCTTTGGGATTACTGCTGTCGCTTCCCCCACTTATCGGTAGCATACAAGCCAATAAATTGTGGTGAGGTACGAATAATCCACGACATGGAGCACAATATACTTGTATTGGTGGGACTACAGTTACAACTTCTTTCATACCAACCGGACTCCGCCTCTGTTTAACATTAGAAGACGTCTCAATAAACGGGGGACAAAAATAAAACACTTGAAGAACTTGCTAAGCCATAACGTCTATCGAATGAGCTTGAATCAAAACACTGTTAATCGGACTATCATGCGAGAACATCATAAAGTGGGAATTAAATTATGGTACAAGTATTTTCATAGGTCAAATTGGTTTTTGAAACCAATTATCGCTACTTACTATTCATTATAATTTTTTCTCATTTTTATCGATATTATATTATTATCGATTCTTTTAAAATATTTCATATAAGGCACACCCTGTGCGAATGGCAAGTGTTGCCATGATTAATTCTGTGATTGTCGGAAATTTCAAATGTGCCTACAATGGGTGTGCAAAAACTTGACATCTAAAAAGCAGCTGCAGGCAAGGCTGGGATTTCGCGCCGCATGCAAAAACACGACGTTCTTAATTCATTCTTCAGTTAATTGCAGTCGTGTTCTTTGCATCTACATATATTCACAATTTCCGGAATTTTATAAAGAAATATTAGTTGAAAATGTCGCTTGCATTTCAAAATGCAGATTCTGTTAAACAGGCGCTCTTTGAAGAGTTACAAAACTTGCTGAGCTCTGATACGAGCGTACTGCAATCAGCTGAACAAAAAATCAAGCACCTGGAATACACCGAAGGTATGTATATGGAACATGCTTATTACAATTGGATTTTGATATTTATTACCTTACATTAATTTAAAAAATCAGGTTATGGCGTTTACTTATCCGAGTTAATAATGAATCAATCTTTCGATTTGCCATTGCGGCAGATTGCTTGTATTATGCTGACCAGATACGTCGAGAATCATTGGTGCGATGGCGATGATGTAGCTACGGAGCAAGCAAAGCGTACAATTCGAAATATTTTACCTAATGGATTGTACGATCCCAACTCAAAAATACGTTCTTCCGTGGCACATACAATTTCCACCATTGCAATGACTGATTGGCCAACCGTTTGGACGGAATTATTTGATATTATTATTAAGTGTTTGGGCGGCAATGAGGATTCGATACATGGTGCCATGCAGATTCTACAAGATTTTTCATATGATGAAAAGCAAGTGAAGGAATTGGGGCCTGTTGTCATATCTGAAGTTTATCGTATTTTTGAATCGGAGCAAAACTACACCATTAAAACACGTACATCGGCAATAAAAATACTAAAATCGCTTTTCCTATCCATTAGCATAAACATTGCTGATAAAAATGAGCAAGCAACAATGATGAATTCCATTTTAAACAATTTCATGGAAAAGCTAATGCACTACCTGGCAATGAATAGCGGCGCTACATCAAACTTTATGCTGAGGACGGAGATTGTGAAATGTAAGTGTATTATGTATGTTTATACGCTAAACAAAGTATATTAACTTTGCCATGAAGTTTGTAAAAGGCAGAAGAAAATTTTGGAGAACCTATAATAGATACTATTTTTATACATTTTTTCATTGAAATCATTTTAATGCACGTGTATGCTTCTATAATCTTTAGTGCTCACGTTCCTGGTGACTGAGATGCCAAAGTATATCCAACCTTATATGGAGCGAATTCTGCCAATCATATGGCAGCTACTTACACAAATCGCAGATGTTTTTGTAAAAGTAACAGTTAACCAAATCGAACCGAATCCGTTCCCTGTATCCGAATCTGTAGAAGACGATGAACTCACTAACTTCTCAACAATGATTATACAAATATTTGAATTTATACAGTGTATTATTTGTGCACAAAAATTCCGTTCTGTTATTAAAAGTGTGTTGACTGACTTAATTTATATTGTGATTGTTTACATACAAGTGCCTGAGGAACAAATCGAAGATTGGAATGATGATCCTGAAAAATTTGTAGATGACGAGGAGGAAGGTGGTGTTGAATTAACGATTCGTTTATGTGGTCAAGATGTTTTGAGCGTAAGTCAATTAAACATTACATTTTTTTATTAAGTTATAATTAATTTCTATTAAAGGCTCTTTGCGATGAACTCGGCGCCAAAGTATTGCCATCATTGCAAGAAGCACTCGGTCGTCATATGAATGTGGCAGAGGCTGAAAAAAGTGCACGTAATCCCAATTGGTGGAAAATACAAGAAGCTTGCATGGTGGCGGTGCATGCATATCGAGAACTTATACTAGAGACTGAAGATCAATTCGATTTATTAAACTATCTTACGCTCGTACGCAACTTACTGGATTACCAAGACTCTGCTCATCTCGTTGGACGCGCCTTGTGGACATTGAGCACTTATTCAAAGTCAAAACTTTACAATCCGCAAATGTTGGAAGAAATTTTAGTGGCAACAATGCAAAGTTTGTCCCCTGAAAAATCCATTGTTTTGAAGATTAGTGCAGTGAGGTAAATTAAAAATACTTCTTATACGTTTATGCAGCCAAATTTGTAATGGTATTATTATTTAATAGGGCTATACACGGTTTTGTGCAAGCGCATGAAAAATCGGAAGGTGATAAACGTGCATTGATACAAGCAAAGCTACCCGGTTTCGTTGACGGTATACTAGAAGTGATACCCGGTTGTAAGTCATCAGTTCTAACACTTGTGCTGGAGTGCTTGACTACAATCATAACCGTAAGTTTTTCGTTTATGGATTGCGATGATGTAATTGCTATATTTAATTTTGTTTTTTTCCTTTTACAGTTTGATCCTTCATTTGCTGTGCAAGCGCAATCTAAGCTCATACCATTAACAATCGCTGTGTTCCTAAAATATCCAGAAGATCCCTACATATTGGAGATCGTACAAGACCTCATTAAAGCGCTTTTACAAAATCCGCTCTGTCTGGAGCCGTTGCAAGAAAAATTCATCCCAACTATTGTTAGCATACTCTCTTTGCAAGGTGATCAAGCGAACACCGCAAAGCAAGATATTGCCCTGGACGTATTGACTACAATTGTGCGATACTCGAAACCTCCTCTATCAGCTGCGCTAGTGGAAAGCGCCTTCCCCGCTATGGTGCACTGTGTCCTGCGTTCTGATGACAATGCTGTCATGGTATCAGGTGGTGAATGCTTAAGAGCTTTTATATTTGTTTCCCCCGAACAGATTTGCTCATATAAAAATGGAGAAGGTCTCAATTTCATTATGCAACTGACCACTATGTTACTTAATCCAATGAATAACGAAATGACCGCTGGTCAGGTGGACCGTTTGGTTATAACCATCATCACCAAAATGGGTAATATGCTTGGTGAGAATGTGGATCTTCTTTTGAAGGCTGTAATCAGTAAAATGCAACTTGCCGAATGTCTAAAAGTTATAATGAGTTTGGTGGTAATATTTGCGCATCTCTTTTTAACTCAAATGGATGCAGTACTGAATTTCTTATCAACTGTACCCGGACCCACTGGCGAACCAGCTATGCAATTTGTATTCAGCAATTGGTTGGCAAAACAAACTTCCTTCTTTGGCACTTTTGAGCGAAAGGTAAAAATTTTAATTTTAATGTTTATTTATAATATGTGGTTTGGTTGTTAGGTGACGACAATGGCGCTCTGCAAGCTGTTTGAATACGGTGTAACCACACAAGATACGCGTCTAACTTCAATTACTGTTAAGGAGCAAGTTATAACTGATTCGACCAGCCCACGCGTAAAAACACGTTCACAAGCAGCAGCTGCCCAACAGTGGGTTACAATTCCTGCTTTGGTCAAAATATTTAAACTACTCATAAATGAGCTGGCTCATTTGAAAGAAGCAAATCTAGCCGATTGCGAAGAGGACTCAGATGAAGATGATGATCCTTCTAGTGGCGCCGCCGGTGATAAACCGTCTGGAAATTCACCACCAAAACCACGTTTTATCTCCGACTTGTATTTCAATGAGGATGATGATGAAAACACCGACGAAGATCAACTTACGCAAGAACTTATGAAGAACCCGCTGTTCCAAACAAATATGGAGGAGAACCTTACAAAATTCCTACAACACTTCTCCAGTAATGAACATTTCGCTATGTTCGTGAGCCATCTTAATAATGCTGAGAAGCAAGTGCTCAAGTCTATACAAGTCGATGTGGCATAAAGAGCAGACGCTTCATCCTATTTTCTCATTCATCACGAGCTAAAAGAAAACACTCATACTCTGCATATTTTTATACAAACATTTATTACGAAAAACTATTATATTTATAAACTGCAATACTATTTGTATTAGTGGATGTTAAAATATTTTTGATATGAATTGTTTATATGAATAATTAGTCTCAACGTTAAATTCTATGTTTACATTATTTAAAATGTCTTTTCGTATATGGCGGAATACGATAACACTTAACTACTGGATTAGTCTGTGAATTTGTATTGTTAAGAAAATAAAAGGCAATTAAGAGTCAAAAAATAGTGTTTTTTTTTTACTTTTTCTACCGTTTGGAAAAAATTACCATGTTAATGATTATTATAATACATACATACATACATATGTACGAGGTGTGTTTAAAGGAAAAGGTGAATTTTGATTTTTGTTTTTTAAGTTCTTACTTATTCATAAATATCTATTTTGTTCCCTTCAAAGTAATCCCCTTCGGATACAATACACTTATGCCAACGCTTTTTCCAATCCTCGAAGCGCTTCTGAAATGCTCTTTTCGGTATGGTCATCAGCTCTTTCTTCTATTTTGACTTGATCTTATCAATTGTGGCAAAATGTCATCCTTTCCTTCATTTTCTTTTGGCATCTTGAGCCAACTGCCACACATTTCATGCCCAAAACATTCGAGAAAATTGAATAGCATGAGCCAATTGATATGCTAACTTCTCTGCAACTTCCCCAATAGTGATTTGACGATTTTCAAACCCAATTTTTTTCACTGTTTCGATGTTTTCTTCGCTTGTTGACGTGGTCGCACCTCCAGAATGTTCATCGTCGTCAACATCTTCTCGTCCTCCTGTAAAGCGTTTGTACCAGTTATATACACATATATTGGACTCACCGAATGCTACAGTCAACATTACAAGTGCTTTATTCCATTTTTAACGCAAAATTTAATACATATTCTTTGATCCATTTTTTTCAAAAGGAAAAAATCGAAGACTAACCATTTCTGTTGTCAAAAACAAACTACCAATCGAAATTGGCTTCTAATGCAAGCACATATGTTTCCGATTATAACTAAAGCAAAATATCGATAATCATATCTGTATGTGTTAGAGTAGCAAAAATTTGAATTATTGTCAGAATATAGTCCTATAGTGGCCTGATTGCAACAATTTCTACAGGGATTGCAGCGATGCCGTAGAGAATAGCCCATGCCAAATTTCTTGAAGCTATCTAGTCAAGTATAAAAGCAGTTGCTTCCGATCATTAAGTTTGTATGACAGGTACATATGTACCGAGTATATGCTTTAGCGGCCTGATCACAGCAATTTCTTCGGAGATTGCACCTATGCTTTGGATAATAACCCATATCAAATTTTGTTGAAAATTTTTATAATAAAATATTATTATTCTAAAATTCTGCAGACAAAATAAATTATTGTGGACTTGAATCCATCCCATATTTGGTTTAAATTATTTACTTATCTTGTTAAATTCGATAAAAAAGAATCGGCAAAGTTAGCTATAAGTGTCGGTTTAATATTGAAGTGGGGTCGTGACACTATCCCCTTTAAAAATTATTAAATGAATGAAATCGTTTCATATTTTCCAATTTTATTCGATTATGTTAACGGATTTGTGTGCATTTCTTGTCAAAAGTACTGAACTGCTTTGTGCAGGAAGAAGCAGACACTTATAACCTCAAAACGTTCCAATTTTCGTCTTCTATTCCTCGTTTCCGAAGTAGAAAAATGTCAAAGCTTTTTTTCAAACCCGCAATGCCTCCACCGAGGGCTATAAAGAGTTACCGGATTATAAAGATTATTATTAACCGGAACGGACCCGGATTTTTATCTGGCCAAGGACTGTCAACTCGGCAGTATTCTGCCGCTACAACAACAACAACAAGAATTTGAGAGAATAAAGCATAATCGGCTTTTTCCGAACTTACTCTGAATTACTGTTTAAATTAAATAAATCTCGATCATCTTGAAGTTAAGCTCATTTCTTTAAATATCTATTGAAACCATTAAAAAAGTTTAGATAAGCAATATGCAGATAATTCTTAAGCGTAATAATTCACAAGACACAAAAATCAATTCATTCATAAAATTTAAACACAGTCTTTTGCTCACAACGTTTACTTCAAATCGTGGTAAAGTGAACAAAATATATAGATAAATTATTCAATAAGTTTCAGTTTTTTTTTTGTTGGTGAGTTTGCAGAATTCCTCAAAAACTCGCTTACAACTGCAGTACAGTTGCAACAGCGTTGACGACATGGCGTGCAGAAATACCGAACATATCGATAAGCACATTTGGAGGTCCCGAGCGTGGAACATTAGGCACATACAGATGCTTAACCACAAAGTCACGCTGTTCAGCCAGCACACTCAATACAGCCTCACCCAAACCACCTTGTTGATAGTGATCCTCAACTACGACAATGCGACCACCCACAGCACGTCCGTTCTCAATGATCAGCTCAGCATCCAAAGGCTTAATGGTGAATGGGTCGATAACACGTGCATGTACGCCACTCTTTTCGAGCTCAGCTGCGGCGTTGAGGCATTCGTAGAGAGTAATGCCAGCGCCGATCAACAGCACTTGATCTTTTGGTGACTGCTTGACTACTTTACCTTTGCCGACTGTGAGCACATCATTGTTGCCATAAATGACGGCGGTGTTGGGGCGGGATGTACGGATGAAGCAGACGCCTTTTGTATTGGCGGCCAATTCAACGGCACGTTCACAGCTCACAGCATCGGAGGGATAGAATACGGTACTACCGGGAATGGCGCGGAACAAAGCGATATCTTCCAAACCCATTTGAGAGGGACCATCCTCGCCGATACTGACACCACAGTGAGAGCCAACAAAGTTGACATTTGTCTGGGAAATGGCACCCATACGAATTTGATCAAAAGCGCGTGTGAAGAAGGTGGCGAATGTGGAAACGAAAGCAATTGTACGATCACGGCAGGCAGTACCAATAGCAACACCCACGAGATTTTGTTCGGCAATGAAGCACTCAATATAACGTTCTGGGAATATATTCTTCAACTTGTCGGAGAAGGTTGAGTTCTTGGTGTCGCCGTCCAAAGCGATGACACGGTCATTGTTCTGTGCAATCTTAGCCAAAGCAGTGCCGTAAGCGAGACGTGTAGCAACTTGTTCACCCAACTTGTAGTTTGGTGGTGACGACAACTTGACATTGGTGATATCTACAACTGGTGCCTGCTTTAACTTAGCTGGACTCTTGGGTGGATTGGCTGGAGCATAGGTGGCACCGACGATGAGGCCCTCCAAGTGTTTGATCACTTCGTTGGCTTTGTCTCCCAATGGCTTGCCATGCCAGTTCTCCAAATCCTCGATATTGGGGAAGTATTTACCCTTGTACGTTTTTGCGATAATGGCAGTGGGCTTGTTTTTGGTTATAGAAGCTTCATGGAAAGCTTTGGACAATTCTTCAACATCATGTCCATCGACAACCAAGGCGTGAAAACCGAAAGCATCCAAACGTTTGCGATAAATTTCCATTTGATGTTGCAGTGAGGTTGGCTCAGATTGACCCAAGCGGTTTACATCGAAAATAACGCACAAGTTATCCAATTTGTAGTGACCAGCAAAGTGCAGGGATTCCCAAATCGAACCTTCAGCAGATTCACCATCACCGACCACAACGTAGGTTCTGCATAAAAATAATGTTAGTGAGTTTCACATTCCAAGTTATTAATATTTGTTTTGGTCAGACATACCTGTAGTCAGATTTGTCGTAGTTCTTGCCTACGTAAGCCATACCAGCACCAACAGCGACACCTTGACCCAACGAGCCAGTACCGACATCAATGAAGTTTAAACGTGGTGTTGGATGACCCTCAAGATCACTATCGATCTTACGCAAGTTCTGCAAGTCTTCGATGGGGAAGAGACCAGCTTCAGCCCAGGCGGCATATAGAATGGGTGCTGAATGTCCCTTAGACAATATAAAACGATCACTTGAGGGATCACGTGGGAATTTCAAATTCAAGCGCAAGGTATTGAAGAACAATACCGACATAATTTCGGCAATAGACGCGCATGATGTAGGATGGCTGGAAGAGAGAAAATTAATATTAAAATTATTACTATTTTTAATAATTACAATAAATAAAAACCTAGATTTAACTGTGACTGTCTTTTTGTTTTGGGGAAATATATTATGAAAATTGGTGTAATCCGTATGAATTGAAGGTTTGAAACTTATATGATGTCTCCGAAAGATTGTTTGATTTGAGGTGGAGCTTTTTAATTAGGAAATATGTACGTACATCAGGAGATTTAACAATGATTGCAGAGACGCGACAACTATTAGAAATAATTTTGTAAGATTTTAAATATTAATATGCTAAATATTAACAACTGCTAGATAAACCTTATGAGTTAGTTAAATGGAATATATACGGAAATGCAACATTTACCGAAAGGGAACATTTATTTGTGGTTAGAAATGCTTATCTATCTATCTTCATGGGAAACCGCTTCAAATTGCATGTGAGTCAAAGATAGTGAAAGGTAGCCCAGATACCACCAATAGGTTCGGCAATCATAAACCGCATATATCTTCTATAACTGTCGAAAACCGCTATTCCAGTTAATCAGCTGATAACCTTATTATGACTTTAATAATTAACATATTGTAGTATGTATAGGTAAACTTTCTGAGTTTTATTGCTGGTAAAATGTGACGCTTCTATTCACAATATCTATTTTTGTTGTTATAGCTTGTTAAACCATATCTTCACATCTTTCTATAACGGTACTCTACTAAATGTCCGCTCACTTATGTATATTATATATAGTCATTATTATATTTCGTAAACAGACCAAGTTCGATTAAGTAATCATCAGTTTTGAGCGTGATAATGAGCATAAGAATATGTCTATCGTATGTATAATATTCATATGCATTTGCCCGAACATCTGATGGCACTTAAGTGATTAGAATATATATGGTAAATAAGTATATGTGATTAAATATGAAGAGACCTTCGCCATTACCGAAAGCATCATCCGATTGATAACTGATTAATAATGTGAACATAACGGTACATACGTATAAACTGTGACAAACACTGCATAACGGGCTGTGACGTACATATGTATGTATGTTCGTTGTTAAGGTCGAACATGAAAATGTCGTTTGGCGATATATTTTTTCGGTGGATTTTTATAGCTTTATCACTCTAACTAGACCATGTGTACTCAATGCATAATGTGGTAATCACACCTGATCATTAACACGATCACAGTAAATGCTGATAATAAAAAAATTGATGCATGGGTATGTGTACCCAAAACCTAACTGGTGAAATATATTGGCGACATTTGTTTTTACAGTCATTTCTAGCGTGGTACCCTATTTTTGGAGTAAAAAAAATTCTGGTTTGATTAAATCTGTTAAAATCGTATAACAACTCAATGTACATTTGACAATAACCTATTTGACTGGTTTCCCTTTGACTTTCCAAAAGTGATTTCATCACAAATTTAATATTTTCAAATGATTTCTATGAAGAGAGTGCTGTAAACATAGACTTGCGAGATTAATTGGTAGGAAGTTGAGAGAGAATAATTCCATTTACAGCTTGATAGCATAAAATGGCTAATTTGAGTTATGTGGTTTTGTCAAATTTTTGTAGATATTCTCACATATATACATATGTATATATTCGCACTCATGTAAGACTTACTAAACAAATTATTTAAAAAACTACATTCAAAACAACAATATTTTGTTATAAGGTCTCATATAACTTTAGAAAGTTATATGTATGTATATTTACATTGAAAATCAGGTTACCCATTGCCGAATGCATTTTACAAATATACACAAGTGTCAGTATATTTTCGCATATACATATGTCATACATACATGCATATATGTATACTCGTATATACTTAAGTATATATGCATAATATATATTTAGAAGTGCAAAAATTTACAACAATGTTCCAAGAATCCAAGTGCAAATGCCGGCACTTCACTGAGCACTTTTCTTAGCCCTAGTATGTATACACAAAAATATACAAACTTTCCGAAATTAGAGTCAATCGCCTTGTGTTATACCTTCTTACAACTACATAGAAGTGATTTGCTCTCAAAAATCTCTTAAACTTTGATCTTTTATTTTATTTAATGAAGTTTATAGTTTCTAATGCTAATTTGCTTCAGTGAAAACTGAAATGTACTTGAAAGCACGCTCTTAAGGTCAAAAGTCCCTTCACTATTCGTTTCAAAACGAAATCATATGCGTACATACCCTGAAGGAAATTCGATTTATTCAAATTTAGTTGAAATATTATTGGATATTACTATTATATTTTGTTACAAATAAAATTATAAAATTAAGTAAAATAAAATAAAACAAAATAAAAAAATTAAAATTAAATATAGAAATAAAATAAAGTAAAATAAAATAATATAAAAAAAATAAATTAAAATAATAAATAAAACAAAATAAAACGAAAGAAATAAAAATAAAATAAATTAAAAATCAATAAAATAACGCTATAGTCGTGCGGCCTGAGCAATTACTTTGGAGATTGTACCGCGGTCTTAAGCAATTATCCACGCTAAATTTCGTGAAGATATATAGTCAAATAAAAAAGTTTTCTATACAAGAACTTGATTTTAATCGTTCTGTTTGTATGACAGCTATAACATATGCTATAGTCATGCGATCTGAGCAATTTGTTTGCAATTGCGATTGTTCCGTTGACTTTAGCAATTTTCTACGTCAAATTTCGTGCAGATAACTTACTAAACAAGAAAGTTTTCCATACAAGGACTTGTATGCAGAGAACTTCTTGGTGAGAAAAGAAGCTGTAAATGGTATGGATATCTCAAAAACTGAGAGACTAGTTCGCGTATATACAGACAGAAGGACGGACGGGCAGGCGGATATGGCTAAATGGACTAAGCTCGTCACGCTGATCATTTATATGTTTAAACAAAAAAAAACAAGGATTTAAAAAATTTATAAAATTCGAATAATACGAAAAATGGTGTTTGGAGAGTCTTTATATTAAGAACAAAGTGTAATAAGAAATAAAAATTGTAATTTAGTTACACACAGTGGATCGTATAAATATATATTTTTACTGCAGTTTGCAAAGCTTAACCACTGCTTTTAAACACAAATTTATTATTTTTGTAATTTTTATATGCAATTTAAATATTTTTCAATTAACCAGCTATAATTATTTTAGGTAATTTTTAAATATGTAAATGAATTCGTCTACTCAAAATATATTGTTAATATATATAAAGAATATTTTTCATTCAAAAAGCAAATTGTAGCAAATCAACTTGAGTGAAAAATGATTTTAAATATTTTAGAAATGAGAAAAGAGTAATTTTTTAAATTAATTGAATTTTAAAAGAAATTTTTCGCCGAAGTAGATGGTTAATTTAATATTCATTAAGAAAAACTAATGTTCAAAAAGAAATTTGTATAAAATATTTTTTTAATTTTTTATAAATTTATTCAAACTGTTGTGCAAAAATAGTAAATGCATGTTAATTTAACGCCCTATAACAATTTAAGTTTTGCTGCTGTAAAATGTACAAAACAGCTGTTCTTACAGGGCTGATGGAGGCTCTCTCACGTTTCATATCACTAGGGTGCTATGCGTTTAATTTTGCGCAGCTCTATTAGAACCTTGCTCTCCACATATAACATCATACCACCATAACACCTAGTCGGTAATTTCTATACACAGTTATATACCGACAAATCATATTTGCATACATATGTATATGAGTGTGTATACATATATAGAGGTATGTATGTGCACTGCTATGTGGCTATTTAGCACGATAAGAAACGTTAGTTGCCAATGAATGTCAACAAAGGTCAACTAAAATCGGTCTTTTCGATTCACTAGCAACATTTGAGATGAGTAAAAGAAAGTTTAAAGTTAGAGGTTATCAGGAAACGAATAAATGGAGTGTCTGCGTTAAGTATTTGCGGCGGAAGCACGTGGTTTCAGTGCAACAACAAGTCATTTTGCCGGTCACCTTCGCTCCTGCAAAGCAGCGCTCAGTTATGTAGGAACTTAAAACGTCGCTTAACAATGCAACAATCGAAAATGTATACTCACTATACTCCCAAAAGCATACATACAAACATGTATATATAAATTTTTGCACACGTATGTAATAAACAGTGCAAGGTACGCCACATTCGAATACCTTTTACTATTTTTTTATTGCAAGTCACGCCACTAATTCGTTAATGATTTAGGATATTTTAGTACAAAATAAACACATACCCCGATTTAGATGCCTGTGTTGACGTAATAGAGTGGATGCGCAAACGATGAGCGATGTCTTTCAGCTCCTGAATAGTTTTAGCTTCAGGCTTGTGGTACGACATATTTGCGCTAAGATTTTTGCTTTGGATTAATAAAAATGTGTAGAAAACTTTTTGAGAGTTGCTCAAAAAAAAAAAAAACTATACGTATTTATCTATATTAATGTCGCGACCACGTCCGTTTCAAGCGTACCAAATCGACTGGCGTACAAAAGCAAACTGACAGTATATTGTCGGTAGCTTACCCACCTAATCAACCAGTTGCCCATTCGTTTGAATGCTTGGAGTTGTGCCATAGCTTGTATTGCAGCTTTCATTACGCGCTCTCCTCATTCAAACTATCAGCTCCAGAATAAGTGAACGTACGTTTGTATTTATGCCTAAAAGTGGATGTTTGCATGTGTAGTGGTGTCACAAAAAATGAGCCGATTACTACCCTGCAGAGAAAGCCTTACTTTGGCGTTAAAAAATTAAAAAAAAAAAAAAAAAAAAAACGAAAGTCATGACAGGGTCAACGTCAGCACTCGGTTTGGATGTTTCAACTTGCAGTTATAGGTATTGATAGAAGTCAAGATGGAATAAGAAACTAAAGCTGAGGTAAGCTCTATATAGACACTTGAGGAGTTATAGCGAAAGCTCTCAGCTCAACTCTAAGCTTTAGCTTTCAGCTCAGTTCTTAGCTTTGTTCATAACGAAGATTAAATAAAAATTGTCGAATATACAATTACTATAGACCGAAGTATTGCAGCCTTTCTTAATGATTTATACTTTATGCTTTATAAAGAAGAATACTTTTTAATTTTGGAAAATAGCATTATGTTTCAGTCTTTGGTCGAATAAAAGTATGTAATCTACGAAAGAAGGCAAAAGTTTTGGAAAAATGTTAATTTATTTTTCAACATAGTCTCCTCATATGACTCATATTTTGGTGCAGTCCATTTTCAAGTTAGCAAACAAAATATAGTCATACGGCGATTCGTCCATTTTGACCATAGTGTCGGCGGAGGTGTGATTCGGTTCGTTGTCGTAGTGAAATAGCACAGCAAATGCGGCCATTTCCAGGGTACTTAGGTATTAGGCTCATCAAAAACTGACATGCGATCACGTTGGAACTCGTTAAACGAATATTTTACTGTTATCATCTAAAGATAAGAGGCACCGATTACAGTATCTAAGCGCTCTCCGATTTCGTTGCTTGATTTCCCTTGGAAAACAAGAATCGAATTATCGATCGACACACCACTCGACTCTTCCGAATATGGTTAAAACAAAACTACGCGTCCGACTCGGCTGAAATTTTGACAGTAATCGTCTACAAGAAAGTTCGTTATCGGTCCGCACTCTTATATCTGGTTGCGACTGAGACTATTTGGTGTCACTAATTGCAGTAAATATGTTAGAAAAATGTTCAAATAACTGCCTTTTCCTCAGAATTAATTATTAGGAAATAAGTATTTTACCTTCTTGATTTTTCCAGACTATGCGTTGCAAAAGATCTGAAGACAACGTCAGTTCAGTGGCTCTAAAAATGTTTTTGTGAAAAGTTGTTCAAGAGATTTATAGTTCTAGATAGTTGAAATAAATACGATAAAAAATTCATATACGATTTCTGAACAAAAATTAATTAAGTTAATGAAAATTAGTATGCTTACTGGAAAAGCTTATGTTTATTTATACAAACATCTTTCTGAGCACTCTAGCGGTTTAATAAACTGTAATATAATAATAGTTTGGCATTTATACCTTTGCAGATTTTTTTATCCTTGCATTTCTGTGGGTTGTTCTATGATATCCAAAAAACGGTCCTTGTAGTTTTATAATTTGAAGCATCGGATAAGCGGCTAATGAATTTATATAAGATTTTGAAGTCGGAAACCCCAACTTTTTGCAGTATCTGATAATCTTTGAATTAAAATGTTCGTCGGCTCTATGTGACCGAAACGCACCCAGATATATAGCTAAACAACAACTGACTGAATAAAGGATTCCAAATTTCTTTTAATTACTCCTAGAACAGTGTATACATATTAAGTTTGCCACGAAGTTTGTAACACCCAGAAGAAAACGTCGGGGACCCAATAAAAATATACTACATACATAAATGATCAGCATGACGAGTTGAGTCGATTAAGCCTTGCCTGTCTGTCTGTCCGTCTCTTTCTATAGTAGACGTAGCCCCGCCCACTCTAATAAGTTTAATCTATATATCTTCCAAACCAATAAAGCTAACGTAATATATATCACCCAATTTTGCAAAGGTCAAGTTTTTTCAACCCCTCTTACGATTACGGTTTGTTGAAAACTACTTAAAGTGTGATCAATCAATAAATAAATGCGTCAGAGATATTATATTTTACATCCAGAATGGCAAAGGAGGTTAATGGATGGACTACAACCACGCCTACTTCCCATATAACACATTTTTAAATTCTAACTGATTCTTTCACTTTCCAGTATAGAAATAAAGCACTAGTGAATGTATCAACCTTATGACTAAAAATTATCCAAATCGAACCAAAACTGTTCAAGCCCCTAGGTACCGAATATATAGACCCCAGAGCCTATAGTTTAATTTTTACCAAAAACATTGGTCAATGTGTGAGATATATAATTGAAATTCGGTATAAATCCATTCCTGTTAATATTGTATGTTTGAATGTAAAAAATGGGTTAAATCGGTCCAATACCTCCCTTGGCCCCCATATACATAATATAAAGATTTTCGAACTTCCAGTTGACTTTATACCACATACTATATCGGCCTATGTTCTAGTTATTTTATTGAAACTGAGAAAGCGTATTTTTCTAATAACAAGGTATCTTTTTGTAATTCAGACACGACCGCTTCGTAGGGAGGCAACTGGGAGAGTGAGCGGCGCTGCACTTAATTTCTTGACATTGACTACCCTCCCTTTCCCCAATGACGCCTATGTATATCACATATTATGTTGCAGCCTAGCGACTTTTTTCTAATACTTACATTTTTGAATTCGTGATATCTTTTGAATGGAATGTCCGAATAGAGTACTTCAAAAAGCTATATGAATTAATTAATTTTGAAAAAGATTACTAATAAGCTACAAATGAAGAGCTTTTACAGAGGCGCCATTTTAATTATTATATTTTTTATAAAAGTACACTTATTGTGATGTGTGACTGTTATAGTTAGAGTTAGACATATGCAGACGCGACATTTTTTGTAGCTAATTATATGTTTTGCAAAGTCGCACTACATCATTTTTTTCTATAATCAGTGGTAGTAGTATATATAATATTAATAGCACACGCGATGTAAGCAGTTTGTTTGGTAATATTTTTTACACCTCGGGTTATATTATATTATTGGTGGTTTAATAATGATTCGTAATTTTTCTTAAATATAATATGGCCTCTTTTCACCGGAGATGGTGTAGCTTCCGAACGGTGTGAGAATTGTTTCAAATCCTTCTAGTAGCTTCGGAGCCTATACAATTCAAGCAAACAAACAATCAAATGTTTTTTCTTTATAATATTAGTATTGATAATAATGTATAGTTAGTAACGGATTTAGAAACGATTTGGCTATACAAAAATATTTCTATAAGTGTTTATTTATTTTAAAAATAAAACAATAACATTTTATTACACTTTAATTCGTTTATTATGTATTTGTGGCGTCAAATAAATAATTTCGGCGAAGATTAAAACGTTTGGATTTACATATTTCTTGCATAATATGGAAATATATATATACATATGTATATAAATATCGCTACACTTATTTTGTTTTTGTATTAATATAACGAAAAAAGAACTCGCAGCAATAATTAGTTTTAGACACTACTGTTTTTAACACAAACAATCGATTCAAAATGCGTTACAAATAGTCAGCGCTTTTACATACATTCATACATACATATATGTAGGTATAAGTATATTTGCATTTCCCTTATACATTTTGTTATTCTTTTAGGCCAATATCTTTGCTATAACATTGCTGACAATAAAAATATAGTTTGACATTTTATTTTCTACTTTGATCATTCAAGACACAAACTCGCCAACTTAATTAACTTTTTTTCGAAACGCATTTGTCAAAAAGTATACACGCGCAGGGACCATATTCTACAATTCATACTTGTGCAGTTATTAAGAGTAATGTATGTATGTATGCATATCATACTATGTGAAGTATGTATGCATATTGCATGTACATATTTGTGACTAAATAAATATTATTAAATAACTTAAATAACGATCCAACAATGAACTTTCGCTTAGTTTCGCGCTTTTTGTAAGTTTACCTACCCTTACTTAATACTACGGTCTATAGTGTTAAAACTATATTTGAAAATACAGGCAAATATACTGAATAGGAGCATTGAATTGTCAATTATATGATTCAATCAATTTTAAAGTATTTCATTACCTTACAAATATATAATATCAGTTTTTTCCTACATAGATACACAAATATTAAAAGTGTTAACAAATCTTAATGTTTATTTCCTAAAAAGTACGAAATAAAAACTAAAACGAGATAAATTACAATGGACAGTTTATTTTGCAAAATAAATACATAAAAGATATTTACTCAAAGTATTATAAAGTAAACGCTACAAAATATTGAAGTTTGTATAAACATGATTTGGCAGGATGAACAAAAAAATAATAATAAAGAAATTAAATGGATAAAATACTTCAAAGAGTTTACCATTAATTTGTGAAAAAAACTAGCACTGCTATTAAATGTGCAAATAACTATATTTGCGACTTTTGTAGTTATATAAAAAATATGTAAAAGTAATAAAATATTGCCATTATTTTCTGCTGTCATACTCTCTATTTGTATGCATATCACGAATATCGCACTTTATAAAAGTACTTAAGCATAGTTAATTGCTAAAGCAGGAATTAAATATGATTTTTGAAAATAAAACAAACATTTTGAGGCATTATTAGTCGGTATCGATAAATAGAAAACACAATAATCTTAAATATAATACGCTTAAATTAACTATATACACACGGCTGTAGCTTGTTAGCAAATTGTTAAGGGTTTAATAGAAGCTTACAAATGTGCTAAACTTAAACGTAATGCAATATCTCAATGCGACACTGGCTCACTTCATTACACTTTCATTGCGTTTGTTTAGCATTCCACTATGACGTTTTGGTATGTGTGGGAGTAAGTGAGACTTTTTATTCCAGCGAAATGCCTTGTATCCAAGAGCTCAAATCGCTGGAGTCAGCTTCCATAACGACTTCGATCGGTTCATCTGTAGAAAGTATGTACTGAGCGGCAGTGCGACCAGTCAAATAGGCACCATGTACGGTTGAATAAAAATTGGAGTGTGTATGCTCGCCGGCGAACACTACTGCAGGCTGAAGGGGTGTAGTAAATTTTTTAATAAGTGTGAGGGAGTATTAGAAAATAAAAATCTGCTTATTTTAGAAAATTATTTTCGAAACAATGCTGAGTTTTATTAGAAATAAAAATAAAATATATATCTTTAAAAAAAAAAAATAAACATATACACACCTTCTGTGCTTGTGGGTTGACGTAAAGTGGCTGCGCTAACAATTCAATATCCTCTTGCGTTGCACCAATAGGTATCGATGTGTATGAGCCACAAGTGTAGGGCTGCGACTTCCAACTTGTGCTAAAAACAAAAGATTTGTAAATAAATATCAAAATTTCTTAAATACATATGTATGTAATTTGCAATATATACATACCATACGCAAAGCTTGGGTTTCGGCACATATGGATCTTTTAGAAATGCACGCAATATTTCTGTGCACTTTTCTGCAACTTCTTCGTGCGACAACGTCTCCATGTATTCAGCCTCACGTCCAGAAACCCAAGCAAGAAGTAACGTTTCAGAAACTTTGGCGAAAGAATAAATCTTTTTGTACCAATTCTTGCTTAAATACTCCTTTGAATTGCGTTCTTCGTCCGAAAGATGCAAATCATACTTTTCGTCGTCCCATAATAACATTATTTCCGAAATGGATGTGCTCATGAAGGGACGATCGTATTCAAGAAAAATTTTATCAACAGTGCCAAACATTAAATTTTCAATTGCCTCTTGTTTGTAATGTGGTAATTCAGGTGTGAAGAGTGTTTTGTGTGTTGATTTAAGCACACCTAACGGTATGGTACATATCACATGATCAGCATAAAAGGTTTGGCCATCTTCACAGTCTACTCTGACAGCAGCATCAATTAAATTGCCACTCGAATCACAGTTCTCATCTGACTCAGTCGATTTTTCACGTAATACATCAATATTAGGCTTTATTGCTGACGCTGCTAGAGCTCCTGCTGCCGGAACTTCAGTAACTGTCTTTTCGGTATCATCTGAATCATCATCTTCAGAATTCTCATCCACCGTCTCCAGGCCGGTAATTGTCTTTTTTCGTTTCCAATGAATTTTCTTTACCGGGCATTTAGTAATGATTGCCTCTTTAGGTATAGGCGTCGAGAGCGGTCGCAATATAGAACTGTAGCCTTGTGGTGGTACAATGTTTCCGCCTTGCAATTCTGTGTAGCTGCCTGTGCGATAAATTAAAAATGAACTGAATTTAGTATATATGACTTTGAAACTTTTTTACACACAACAAAGGACGTACCTAATTCTAGCAGATCCACTTCGTTCATATTAGTACAGCCTGTAATACAAGTCTCACGCTTTAACAAGCAATTGAAGATCAATTGTTTTAAGCGCTTCTCCTTCGGATCCTGCACAGAACTTAAGTAAATTTCAATTTCGTAATTTATATGCTCGCCAACGCTATTTATATCCGGGGGTGGGCTATATTGACACATAAAATACTCATCACATCGTCGCAGAAAACACACATATGCCTCGTAAATCTCTTGCAAAATGTTGAAAGGAACCTGATTGCCATCCTCTGTTGTGGCAATAACCGTGTGTGGTTTCGGTATATTAACTACGCTGACTAGACCGTGTTGTACGGCAATCTCGAAAATCGGATTGCCCAAAACACCGTGTATCCAATTGGCGCCAAGTTCGATCTGGATAAATTTAACAATTTTAAAAATTAATATACATCCACATAGATATAGGTTTTTGTTAAATTAATTAACATAGTATATATAATGTTGGGCTCACTGCCTAAATTTTTAATAAAAGTACCAAGATAAACAGTGCATAAAATAAAAAAATACATAATTATTATCAGCACGAATACTGTGTTTTCTGCAGATAATAAGCACTTAAGTCTTCATTTCATGTTGTTTGTCATTATATGGAATTGTGCTGCTGTGATAATTAGATTCAATGTTACTGTTGTTATTTTGCGCAACGCTATGCATATGTAATGTGAGAATTTATCAAAAACTGGTTGATTGTTACGCTGAAGTGACAGATAATTATAGTAGGTGTCGCAACCAACCTACATTTATGCGTTTATATGTTTTTCAATATGTATGAAATGGTGTACGTGTGCATCTATTTAAATCAAATAAACTAGTCTACAATAACGTTTATAATTCGTGGATGATTTCAGATCAATTTATCTAATTAAATTTTGCACATACATGTATTTATACATCTAATTTTTTTCTAAAAACTATTGCAAATACATGCACATGCATGTAACTATTCATGTATGCAATGCAAATATAACAAGGTGTGTTTGCTTCACTTCCGTTTTATACACTTTTTAGCGAAACTGCACTAAACTCATTGAGGCGTAGCACCGAATTGTTTTCATCGTTTACCGGCAAAGCGTCACATGCTTATAAAACACTGTTAAATAATATATACAGGGAATATATGTATATATACAATATATGAAAAGTAAAAAAAAAATTATCGAATCGCTATCGAAATCGTAATTTTCAAGGTTTATTTATTTATGGCTACGTGCGCGTCTAAATCTTACACCAATTAAAGTACGTGCGTTCTTATACAAACATGGACTTGTTCAGCTAACACTTGATAATTGAAAAAAATTTAACCGATAATGCGTTATACTGGGAACACTTGAACAACATTTGCTATAAACTTCACACAGTTTCTTCATCACTTTATTATTTCAATATTGGCGAGAAATAACGTTTTTGTAAATGCAAAATTTGATTACAAACTTTAAAGCAACTGAAACTAATGCGAACAAGTTAATACCATATATGTATGTCCAGAATGTGTGGTAGTCGTGGATTAGCACTACCTACACTTATAATAAATAAATAAATTTAACATTGGTATGTAATTCAGTTTTCTACGTTAAATATATATTAAGAGTTCTTTACAATATTGAATATAAGCCAAGCGAAACATTTTATTTTTTTCTAAATGTTCGAAGGTCTTACATATATGCAGTATTGATTACTGTAATTTTATGTATTTGCATTCTTTCAAAAAATAGCAAAGTAGATTTATGACCAAACTAATGGCTTACGTGAAGGGATACACATTTGAATATATGTAACATAAGTTTAAATAATATTTTTGACAAGCAAACGTACAAAAAATTAATAGAAGCAAACGCGAAACTATTAGAAATTAGATTTTACCAGGAAGCGGTTTTGATATAGCCTAATAATAGCCAATAGAATAGGTCACAACATGCCAAAATAACATTTAAACGGAAGGGCGAACTAATTTTTGGCAAACGTTTTTAGTATTTTCTGCTGTATACATACATATTTAACTTATTTCTGGTTCGGAAATATATTTCAAGTTGTAAATGCAATATTGCAAAAGAATTAGGCACATTAAAGCCAAAAACGCCCCCGGGTTGCTTACATAATTACCTAAATATTTTTCAATTCTCCTACTCAATAAATAATCTGTCTTGTTATGAATCGCTTACGCACATTACATATACATATATATACGTTTTTGAAACCCCTTACTCTTTGTGAACGCAGCGGTATTGATATAATACGACCGCCGATCCGACTACGTGCTTCAAGAATGCGAAAATCATTGCATCCATTATGAAGAAAATGATTTGCGGCTGAAAGTCCTGCCATGCCTGCACCAATAATCAGCACCTTCACCTTCAAAGGCTGCTGCTGTTGCTGCGTAATCGTTTCGTTGTTGGTTGAAACACTTGTACTTGCTACCTCTTGGGTGCTTGGCGAAGGCATTGGTGCAGTTTCGCCCATTTTGTATGAATTACACTTTGGTTGCTAAATGTTTAAACACACTTTTCATTAGCGCATTCATGTACTGCTTATTAATTTTTTTGTCAATATTTTCATCTAACCGGAATTTTCCTCGCACTTTTCCGTAATATATTATCGATCTAATTTGATGGCTTATTAGATGACAGTTTAAACGTCATTACACTTGTTTCCTCCCTTGTCAATGCATCAGCTGTTTTGTGCTAATTGGAAAAACTTTAAGAGATGCCAACTTACGATTTTTTGTTAAGCTAACTCGATATTGCTTGCCGAGAAATCTTGTGTTTATTATGAAAAACTACCCTAAGGAAATATACTACCCTAGGAAAATAAATGATTCCCAGAAAGCGGATACAAAATTCATTTTAAGTGTTTAATCTCAAACACCGACTGGAAAATAAATAAAAAAAATACAATTAGGAATAAAAAATGTATATTAATTAACTCTCATGTTGAGATTAAACATTGAAAATATAATTTTTAATATAAAAATTTTGAATTATGAAATGCGCAACCCTGCATATATCTAAAGAAAATAATTGTAAAATAAAAACTATAATTTATACTTTATTCATGTATTTTATAAAACACAATACCAAAGGTCTGCAATCAAATTCCAACACTGGATGCACCGCTTTCTTTTTACTGTCGGTTATCCGTTTACACTTCTTTTGGAATATTGACAATTTAAGAGCAAAACAAAACATTGCAAAAACAAACTTTTGCAGCTGAGCAAAGTAATTTAATATCGTTTTTGTGTTGGCTTAATCATCGAAATATGTCTCGGACAAAGGATGATCCAGGTATAGTTACTCCTACGAAGAAGCTGCGTTTTCGTGGAGAACTAAATTTCCATAGTCGTGTTGATGAAATTTTCGATGATGAAAACAAACGAAACAGCGGTGCTGGTAGTTCTGCCAAGGGAATCAATGCAAAACAAAATGGGGAGGACAAAGAGCACAGGAAAAAAGGTGAGTGGGCGTTGGTGTTGTTCCGTGCAAACAAGTGGTGGTTTTTGTGTTTTAAAAGTGATAAATTATTTTTTATTGTTCACAGAAGAATCACCATCATTTATGGACTTTTTCAAGGTTGAATTGACCCGGGGATACATATTAGAACACGATGAAGAACGTTATACAGCTCGTAGGCAAAAAATTTACTCTTTTATGCGCATACCGCGCGATCTGGAACGTTTTATTGTTTACGGTATAATGCAATGTGCTGATTCGTTCCTATACATACACACTTTCCTTCCGGTACGTTTCGTTTTGGCCACATGGGCACTGTTTTCACGACCCATTGCCAGTTGCTTGGGATTACGAAGGCGCAGTCAGCGTCTATTGACACCGGCTGAAATTTGTGATTTGCTTAAAGGTCTTATCTGGATAGCGTGTACATTTTTGATGCTTTCCGTAGACACAAATCGTGTATATCATATAATTAAATCTCAATCAATTATTAAACTATACATTTTTTACAATATGATTGAAGTTGGTGATCGGTTACTATCAGCTTTTGGGCAAGACACGATTGATGCGCTGTTTTGGACAGCAACTGAACCAAAAAATTCAAAACGTGAACATTTTGGACTGTTGACGCACATTGTCTTTGCGCTAATATACGTTCTACTGCATAGTTTCCTAATTATGTTTCAGGTATGTAACATATAAATGGTAATTACAATTTCGTGTTATAATAATTTAATTTCTTTTAGGCGACCACCTTGAATGTGGCCGTAAATTCCAACAATAAAGGTTTGCTTACAATAATGATTTCCAACAATTTCGTCGAGCTTAAAGGGTCAGTGTTTAAGAAGTTTGATAAAAATAATCTCTTCCAATTGACTTGTAGTGATGTACGTGAACGTTTCCATCTGGCCGTGTTGCTTTTCATTGTGATGATACAAACAATGAAAGAATTCGACTGGAGTATGAATCAGTTCTGCGTAATGATACCCGATTGCATTGCTGTGCTAGTGACTGAGGTACTAATCGATTGGATCAAACACGCGTTTATCACGCGCTTTAACGAGATACCAGAGTACATTTATCGCGAATACACTACCAGTTTAGCTTATGACATGACTCAGACACGTCAGAAGCATGCTTTTTCGGATCACTCAGATTTGGTTGCACGTCGCATGGGCTTCATACCGTTTCCACTTGGCGTCGTGCTGATAAAAGCGATTTATTCGGCAGTCTCATTCAATAATGTCGCCGCTTGGGTACTTTTTGGCTTGGCTTACATATTCGTATTGGGTTTGCGCATTTGCTTGACCATCTGTGCTTTGGGTAAAGCCTGCAAATTAATGAAGGAACACCAAGACGAGAAAAGCAATTCAACGCCAAGTTCGGTAACGAATGCACCACCGGTTGGTGGCAGCGGCGGCGCTGCTAACGTTAGTAATATTGTAAATAGCGTTGGTACAATGGCTGGCCTTTCCACCTTGTCCAGTACATCAGGTAGCACGCGCTCACGTTCGGATATTGCTACATCACCTATTCAATCGATTCATCAACTTCAACGTTCCGTAACGGTAGACCAAAGTAGCTTTGCACCAACAACGCATAATTCAACTTCAACGCCCAAAGTTCTGAAAGCAACACAAAAGCCCACCGTACCGCACAATCCGAATGATGTCGAGTTGGACGTGAAGAACTCACTTGAATTAGGCGCTACAGCGCTATTTTCTAACAGCGATGTGGACTTGGATGATGTATGCCTTAATGAGAAAGTATTAGAGCCAAATGCCAACTCTAATGCTTTTGTCGAGGAGGAACTGGCACGTAGTGAACCTGAATTGTCGCTACCACAAGTACTTCACGATACGTCTTTAAGTGTCAGCAGCACAACAACAAAGGATAGCACTCAATTGGAACAGCCATGTCGGTTGCCAAAACGTACGCACAAACGCTCCGAGTCCGAGCCGAGCATGCAAAGCATTGTGGGCGTAAGCGAGACCGAGTCGCAGGCGTAGTGTCGGCGCATTTACTGTTTATTGATTTAAGCTTATGTTTTTCTGGTGATGTCCTATGTATTTGGTTTAAGTTTTAACTTTTGCATTTTGCCTATTTAAGAGTACGTGAATTTTGTTTGTGCATAGTGTTTGCAGAATATTCGTTTTAAACGGTAAGCAAAAAAAAAAAACAAAAAGACCTTTAGCATTTAAATAATTTAAAATCATTCTTTTTTTCTTGTTAATTTTTACATGATAACCTTTTAAGTTATATTGTATGTTTGTACTCGCATGTAGGTATGTTTTAAATACACTCGCATTATTGAGAACGTTTAACGAAATGCTAGCTTAGTTATTGGAATATTGTGTCTTAATATTTGTGAACTCAAATACCTATGCCATACCCTAAGACCAGTAAAATTTTTCAATAAATTTAATATAATAAATAATATTCAATATTATTATTATTCTTATTCAACGTTGTTATATGTTCAGTAAAGTTTAATATTAAGCGTGTGTATGTATCACTGTGATTTGTAGTAATCTATAGCATCCATTATACTCCTACACTTGCATACGGAGAAGAGCTAACATATCATATCTGTGGGTGAATTGGCGCTTGCATTTACATTTTGTGCAATTGTTTTTGTTGCATATGCGTGGGCACCTAGTTAGATATACATATATGCACACATGTGAAAAGATTTTTTTTGTGAAGCTGAAGGTAGCAGTTGTTTTTACTACCTTTATTGCAACAAATCGCAGCTTATTACAGTTAAAACTAGGAAAAACCTAAACTTCGGTTGTACCAAAGCTATAATACTCTTCTCAGAAAAAAGTTTTATATACAACAACTTGACTTTGATCGTTCAGTTTGTATGGCAGTTATATGCTATAGTTGTTCGATCTGAATAATATATTCGGAAATGTTCCCTTGAACAATAATTTTTGACACATTTCGTAAAGATACTTTGTAAAAAAAAAAGTCTTATATTCTTAATGCTGAAGGAAAAATAGTCGAAATTGTCTATAAGTCAACAACTATTTACTGTGAATGTATGAGAGACAGATTGTCCCTTGCATCAGAACTAACACCCCCAGCGTCCAAAACCACTGGCTATATTTCTATGACCAACGTATGTTATTCATCTCTTTAAGTAAGCTGGAAGAGAAGAGGAAAATACCCCAATTTTTAACGAAAACGGCAGTCATAAAGGGATGCTGGTTCGTACAATGGACTAAATGGATGCCACAAGCGAAGATCTGTAATCGTTCCCTTCCACCTGTAGGTAGGTAGGTAGAGTAACTGTCTGACGACGCACCTAAGCCTTTAGGAGGCCCTTTGTGATACCACTGGGACTAATATCCCCACACTCTATTGTCTCCCTTCTGAAGCACCCGGTGTTCGGAGGTGTTATATCAAATCCCCCAGAAGCAAATATCTCTAGTTATCACTTTCATTGTACGTACCTGTTTTTTTTACAATTTATATATGTAGTCTCTAAATTTAATACCTAAAAATGCAAACTGTGGGTGAAAACAAATTTCCTCCTGAATTGAAACTAAATGAAACTAAAGCAAATTCTCAATGGAGTACAAGTAGCTACGACTTTTTTTACTGCTATTTTATACACCGTACTTAGTATCACACAAATATACATTAACCATAGCGGCAAGTAAGGAAGCCTAAAACAGTTCTTTGTCGTAGGTCCGAGTCGTCATTGAATAAAATCTACAGCAAATTGTTGCTTGCTTGTTAACAATCATTTATATTCATTTTTAGTGTCCACAGTATCAAGTAATTTTTGTAGTGAAAATTGTTGGATTTTCGCACAGTAGTACGTAGAGAGAGTTATGTCTAATTCAATTCCTATATATTTAAGATCTTGAAAAATATGTTTCTAAAGAGTTATTTAAATGATCGAAAATTTGTATTCAATAACAGTTATGAATGTCATTCAATGACATTTGTACATACTTTAAGAGCTATGAAGTTTCAAAAAAAGATATTTAATTTAAAATACAAACCCACCGTGTACAAAAAAGCTAAAGTATCCTGTTCAATAACTTCGGTTGTAAAACAAAAAAAAATCTTCAAGCAACAAATACGGAAATGCGACAAAGCAAACGAAAGTTAATAGGGAAGGACTAAATAAATGTTATTAATGAAATCGATTAACAGCTACAGCCTAACACACAGCGGCTGCGGTTGAGCTGTGGTAATCGAGACTAAATCACTTAATGTCCCATTTAATTTGAGTGTATGGTATGTACATATGTAATGATTGAAAACAATGCGACGCTGTGTAGGCGAGTCTATCATCTTTACGAAAA